TATCCTACTCGGAGAACCATGTTCGAAATTGAACTCAGTAAGATAGTGGACTGTATGATTTATATCGCACCCTGGATTGGGGAAAGCGTTAAGAGGATTTAAAAAAAGACACAATAATAAATGCATAACACACTTTTAAACACTTTAGCTGTTTACTATAAAAATCAATCTCTCTGTTTAATTTTACTTTAACATGTCATCATCCTTGCTTACTTGCAAGAGAAAAAAAAGGAAGAACCAATTTATGAGTCAGACGGAGAAATTACATGTCAATCGAAAATGTGAATCGCTTGTCGTTACAGAAATCCTACACAAAAACGATACACGTGAAAATTATAAACACGAGCCTAAAGTGACTTACCGAAACGAGCGTATGAGGCTGACTGACGATAACCGCAGCAGCAGCAAGCTGCTGGACAAAGGTTAGTATAACCAGAGTCTATTGGTGTATTAATAGACGCGTGCACGCTTATGATTGGCCCTTATAGGTAAGAGAATATCCTAAATCGCGAGATTTTAAATCTCATAAACTAAATTTTCTATTTACATCAGTATAATGTTACTGATGTTGCACAGCAGTACTTATAGACAAGTCTTTTCTACAAAATGAAGTATAAATTAATACAAATATAATTAAGAATTCATTTTAATAAAAAAAAAAAAACGTTAAAGGAGGAATTTAACTAATTTTATGATACTATGCAATCTATAACAACTAAATTAAGTATTGTAAGACTTTAGATGTAGTTATGAATAACAATAACACTCTTGAGTTTTGATACAAAAGCAATACTTCAATTATCACTAACTGTCTTATATCTGATTATGTATGAAATCCCGATGTCATAAATAAGAAGTTATAAGCAAGAGATAAAAGAGGTTTTTTAATGCATTAACGTCACATAAGTTCACTATTATTTTTTTATTATTACTAATACCACTACTAGAACTATTGTTACTATTACTACGATTATAATATTCGCTACTATTTTGTTATTATAACTACTATCACTACTGCAACTATAGTTATTAAGTTTGCTATTATTTTTTTTTATTGTTATTATTATCACTTTTTGTATAACTTTAATTACTACCGTTATTATCATCGTTACCAATAAATTCACTTTTGTTTCTTTTCTTAAGTCATGAAGTGTGCTCGCTCTTTTAATAATAACTAGTAGCACTACTTTGGCATGAATATTAGTTATAAGAAATGCTAGCTGCAAAGAGAGACAGAAGAAAAAGGGATATTGTATCTTTACTCTCTAGTTATTTGGACTGCGAGATGAATTTTCTAATTTGCAAACCATCACGTGTTTGAACCTGAGTGGCAGCCCTGAATTATGCAAAAGCATGACCTAGAAATCAAGCTTTCCTATTTAATGATCACTTTCCCGGTTGACACGCAGGACCTTTTCCCAATACTCTAACTTTGTGTGTGCACAAGAACGGCATCCCCGCATTGTCTCATATAAGACCGTATATAAGGACCAAAGCCTCCTACATTAGTCAGTCTTGCCAGTCTTAGTTAATTGATCCTACCATCCTTGACTCTCTTTTAATTAAGGTCCTCTGCTTGGCTCACCTTAGTCAAGTTTCCTATGCTGCTGCTCTCAATCGGCGGCACTCTTCTGAATCATCCTTGACTTCTTGAGTCAAAATATTGGTTAATTCAGATTGCCTCTAGTATTGACAGACAATAAAACAGTAAGTCAAAAAGAAAACAAAGCAAATCTTTTTTAATTTTCACCAACACACCCATCTGTACGAGCAGTTTTCCCGAACCCCTCTGGCTGCTATTTGTGCAAAGGAGCAAGCAAGTTTATCTGCTCACGGTCTCTTTTTCACCGTCTCGCGAGAGTGGCTGACGTAAAATTATACCCCCCTCCCCTCACGTACCTTACCACCTTGCATCGCGGCCTATCTTCGTCTATCTGACTGGCTGGATACTCAAGCAAAAAGAATCCTGAACAATAAGCGAAAGCTTAGCTCAAAACCTTGTACGTTACACCGACGTTACAACTGCGAATGATTAAAACATAAATTAGAAATTAATACGACCAATAGTATACAAGCAAGTATTGATACATCTAAATCTTTGTATCAAGAAGTGCATGTGCATAGATGGCAGCACTTTAAATACAAGCACTTGATATTCTCCATACATGCCATTTTTCTTAATATCCTATATACTTAAGACTCATAACACTTAACCACATAGTTTCTTTTTCAAGAAAATTTTTTTAAGAAAAAAATAAGAATGAGAAAAATAAAAATAAAAATAAATAACAATGAGAAACTGCAACCATCTATGCATATGCCCCTCTCGATACAATGATTCAGATGTATTAACAATCGCTTGTATACTATGAGTCGTAGTAATTTCTAATTTACCGACAACAATTAGAGTCACATAACGACTTTATCGAGCTAAGGTGAAAGACAGCTCTAAAAATCACTTCTTGGTACAACGATTAGGATGTATCAACATTCGCTTGTATACTGTTGGTCGTATGAATTTCTAAATTACCGAGAGGCATTAGAGTCACATAATTACTCCATCGAGCTTAGGTTAAAGACAGCTCTAAAAAATAAAAATAAGAAACTTGTCTGAACTTTCAGTGTAAGTAAATGTACAGCTCCTCAGTAGCTCAAGTGGTAAAGCAACTGTCTAGTAAACAGGAGGTTGTCTGTTTGATCCGCTCCCAAGGAGAATGTTTTTAATATTCTTATTTATTTCTTAAGAAAATTTTCTTGAAAAAAAACTATGTGGATTAGTTTTATGAGTCTTAAGTATATTGGATATTGAAAAAAGGGAATGTATGGAGGATATAGAGTGTTTGTATTGAAAGTGCTACCGTCTATGCATATGCACCTCTTGATACAATGATTTAGATGTATCAACATTTGCTTGTATACTATTGATCGTATTAATTTCTAATTAACTGACTTGCATTAGAGTCACGTAACTCAAAACATGAATGTTTTTTTTTAAACATAACATTATATTTCCCTGAAGAATGGACATAATAAGAAAAACGAGCTTTCTGTTCACGAATGGGTAGTTGTTTTGAGTTATGCTTGAAACTTTTTTTTGTTAACCATCTAAAAGTATAAGCCACTGAAATTGTACTTCACAATTACTTTTAAATTTAGAATTTAAATTTGTATGCTATTCAAATGAAACAATTTTTCTGTAAAGAGCTAAGAGAATATAGAAAAAAAAGCATTTTTTAAATGCGATTTTAAGTTGTAGTTAAACTTTTTCATGTAAATTATATATTTCAAAGAGCAAGGTTAACTTGACTTTGCAGAAAAATGGTTACAAAATCTGCTTTTAGTTAAGAGAGCATGTGTATGTTCTGAACTAGGTTATCCGAGAAGAAGACATTTAGGTGAGACAAAAGTAATTATAAGGCAGGAACTCTGATAGGTACAGGTAAGTCAGTGTGTTATAAACTACAAATCACCGTCCGTGATTATGCATTTAAAACGTATAGTACCTTAGTCTTAGCTGTTTGTGAGGTGATTAATATCTACTCTAGTAAGACATTTCAAGTATGCGTAATATCGTAGATCTTGTCCCACTCATATTTACTTAGGTGGTATGCCTGTCAGTCAGTGGCAGTAGGGCCTTGTTAAAAATAAATAATAGTATGTGCAGTATGTACTCTAGTTATAAATATGGATGTAAAGGAGTCTGAAGTCAAAGATTGCGTAGTACCTTGATTACATCGTAATCAAGTTATATTGTCATTGCTTTCAGCCAGCCATTCTCCATACGCGTACATGACAGCATTAGTATGTGTGTGAGTTTAAGTTGGGGAGATGTGTTTGTACATCTAAGAGTGTTGAGAAGATATTACTGCAGTAGATAGTAGAAATACATTTGTATACTTATTGTAGGTGAATTTAAGAGCCAAATAGTATACAAAATGATTCTACTATTTGTAATATTGAATCTTTGGTCTGCCTGACTGTATTTTTTTTTGCGAAATCATTAGCTGTTTGACCAGTAGGCTCAAAATACATTTACATATTTTTATCTGTATAAAATACTATTTAAATAGCTGCATTACTTTAATCTCATTCTGGAAAAAGTAACTAACTTTAATAATCGTAGTAACTCAAAAAGTAATATGGAAAATAAATTTTTACTTAAATTGTGATATTTGAATAATATGGTAGGAGCCTAAACTGTGAAGTAAGGTAATTCTGTATTAGAGGTAGTGTAAAAAATACAGGTAACTGATACAGCAGTTTCTTAGTTCTGTCAAAGTAAGGAACTAAAAAATAGCTTTAAAGTAAAATGTTTTTGTATAAGTACCTGAGGCATAGTTATTAGAAAAAGTGACCTAACTTGTAAAAGTATTGAGAGGCATGGTCTAAATCATGTTAAAGAAAAAAAATCAGTCATTTAATTACATAACTAATTATTTTTACATCCAGAAGCTTTTTAGTTCATCTTGTTAAAGTTTTGATTTTGTTCCTACTCAACGTTAATTCAAGAATAGTACAAAAGTTTTCATAAACATTATAATAAGTAACATGTTGTTTGTGTTTTTTCTCATAAAGCCTTTACATGTTACTTTATAGACCTACTAGCGACAAAGAGTGGGTTTCAAACAAAAATTAAAAGTGCTAAAAAAATTTTCACTAAAGCATTTTACTTACTTTGTTCAGCAATCGCAAGAAAAAGTCAAGTAAAATCATTTTTATTGTTTATAGATGTTGAGCGTTTTGCATACACTAACCTGTTATATCATGAAAGAAGCAGTTAAAAAATTTTTTTTTTATGTTAATTATAAAAAGTACTGAATAGTTTTAGTATTTGACAAGACTCGCTTGCTTTGCTGGCAACTTAGGCATCAAGAAATCTCTTCGTAACCATACTTTGTCAGTTAAGGGAAAAAATGTTAATTTACAAAAAATATGATCCTTACAAATGTGAATCTTGTTTTGAATACATTAATTTTTAATTTTAATTAATGTTTAACCAGCCTTCAAGGTCATCAACTTTGGTCTCGTTTCTACAACCTTTTAGCAACACCCTATGGATTTTAGTTATGGTATCAGTCCATGTAGTAGCCCTTGTCTTGTATTTATTGGATAGATTCTCTCCCTTCGGACGATTCAAATTGGCTAACAACGATGGCACTGAAGAGGATGCACTAAACTTATCAAGCGCTATTTGGTTTGCGTGGGGAGTTCTTCTGAACAGCGGTATCGGAGAAGGTATTGTAAGATAATCTTTTATATAAGCTTCTTTAATAACACATCAAAGTACTTATTCATGCTTATAATACAAGTTCTATTAAAAAGTGGTGGCATTAAAAAAATGATCCATGTGTATGTCAACTACAATATCTATATTTATTCATCAAATAAAAAAAACTCTGCACAAACCAAGTATTACACCTATAAAATAAACCATAACGATGTTTCTGGTAAATGTAAGCTTCTACCAGTGTCAAAGGAGCAGATGGCTCAGTTATGTACTAATGATTCCAGACAAATGTAAGATTCTTTTTCTTAACTGTTAAAATAAGATAGTTTATAACTTAATTTAAAATTCAAATGTATTGTAAGGGTGACATGATGGAAATCAGCTTTTGCACTCACTTTATGTAGCCTTTTGCACTGTCAGAGATGAAGTCAAGCTAACAGTGTTGCATTATTATTTATAATATGATAAACAAAGTAAGAAAAGGTAGTTTGTAAGTAAGACAATAAAAATCTACAAATTCCGAAGTAAAGAGTACTTTTGCTACTTATATGTCTACAACAATTTCCTGTTTCTTCTTGACACTAGCGTGCCTCACATAAGTTTGTGTCATCTGTCAATCTATGTCATACTTACGCAAAATAACTTTCTTCTTGGAGGTAAATTTGGATTTGACAGTAAAAGCCCATAAGATTTTTTTATAAACAACCATTTTAGTTACGATAAATTTGTCGTTACATAGAGACAAGTCAGCACCATACACACAAACACCCACGTTTGCCAGTAGAGGTTTGTCAATTCTGATAGTAAAGTCAGCTTGCTACAATTTCATGTTTTTTTCACCTAAACTCTTTCCCTTCTAGATACATTCTTGTTTTCTACAATCAGTTGTGCAGCTCTGACAAGCATACACCACTTACTATCACTTTTCTACTTATCGTTAAAAATTTCTGCTAATGTTGTATGCCCAAATAGAGTCCACGTACACATGCGCATACGTAAAGAGATTGTTTTCAATCTTGCTCTACCACAAGGCCAAGAAAATTTTCATCTTATAGCATAAGTACCTATTGCTTAAATATTTAAACACATGAGCTTCCTTTTGACTACGCATCAGCTTTTCATTTTGAAGCTTTACTTTTCGTCTTTTAACATGCCTAATAATAAAGCAAACGTTAAGTGTAAGTCTCTTCTGAAGTATCTGATTTAACTGGTCACTTGCATTCGAAACTTTGTTAATAATACAAAGAAAAATTAAGGCATTGGAGTATCATTCTGTTTTAAACACATAAAACAAATCTCAGTTCTTAGAAGATTACTTAAATGCATTATCATTTTAGACCTTACGGGTAATCCTTAAGTCTCACCTACAGTAATTGTATTATTAATGCAAAATACACGCTTAATCTAGCAAGCAAAGATTCTTTGAAATACGTGCTTATAAAAAACGTACTGATCTTGTGTCGCAGCTAAGGTCATAGGCTTAAAAGTAACTTACAAAACTTAAGGCTTTCAAAATTATAGTAGAATCCACCTAGACTTTTCTCATGTATTTTACAACGTTCCCAGCACTATTGATGATTTTAACAGGGTTTTTTAACTTTATACTCTAAACTCATCGAAAGGCCTACTCACACATTAGACGAACGTACCCATTATCGTTTACTCAAGGAGACGACATGTCCTAACTATCGGTCACCTAATTTTTTTTTTTTTTTTTATAGGCCTCAGCTATATTTTTAATAAATAACAAAATAGATTTATATCAAAACAACTTTTTGTTTGATGCCCCAATAATACTCTTTTATGTTTAAGAAAATGCATTTTAGGATATAAAGAAAAATAATCGATGGTTAGGACATGAGCAATAATTAGCACATTCACCATATCTTTCAAAATTTACACAGTGTTCAGATGTGTCACACTAACTTGCTCTAAGTCTCATTTGAGATTGTATTCAAATTTGAATTCTAGTTTTTCTGTAATAATAGGTTGCAAGCTGTTAGCAGCCCTATAGAAATTTTAAGAGGTCAAGAAATCTTTGTGACTCTTAATCTGTAATTATACGTAAGTAAAGAAAGTTGCGTACATTCATTATTAGTGTTAAAGATAACTACTATATATCTGCCTACCACTAAAATTTAAATTCTTATAGATTCTTGAGAGGCCGTATTTTAATTATTACAGAGCATGAAGGGAAGATAAGAAGAAAATTTCAGTGTTTGTAAGATTAATGATTAGTATTCAAAAGTCTTTTAAGTGCTGGGACACATAATCACCATGTTTGCATCTGCCAAACATTTTTATTAGACTGTATAAGTATAAACCTTATCAATATGTTGTCGATTATAGACAAATACGCGAAGTCTTTGACATATTAAGCAAAAACTGTCACAACCGTTCTCATCATGGCTTTCTATTCTCAGGTCATAAACAACTTGAAGGTGTTGGAACACTACTTAATCAGTAAAAGCTCTCTTGTTTTATATTCTTAAGAGGTCTTATAAGAATTTTAATCCAGTTTATAGTACGTATTCTTCTATTGAATGATATACAATTCTTTGATTCCTCATTCTCCGGTTTCATTTGCTTAATATTCAATTTTCTGATTGACGCAGTAAATGTGAGTCAGCTTATACTATGTACAGTTTTACATATTTTCTGGATTTATCATATTGTCACTCCTACTGTAATGTCTCTAAGAACCCAATTATAAAACTACTAAAAGGTAGAATATCTCTAGCACCTTGTTTTGAATCGCCTGGTGTCAAATTACTGTAAACTGCTGTATTATGAAACCAAAGTTCAATGTTTTAGCCACTAAGAAAGAAATATTTTTTTTTAGATTCTTATGATTTCATAAGGACAGGTGGCTGACTTCCAAGGTCTATATTATAAGTCAATATAATATCCTTACACAAATAGCTTTTAACAAAACTAATAGGTTAGGTAAGTTCAATACGTTGAGTTCATATTTGGTAAGAAACTTCTGAAGCCTTTGTACACTAGCCATGAAAAAAATCATTTATCACAAATTTGTAGCCTTAAAAAGCTTTGAAATCAGTATGTAAAAACTGTTAGCTTCTTTTAACTCAACCAAACTAAGTACTAAGTATTATTAACTTATGCCCTAACGTTTTCATATACTTTCAACGTAGCAAGGCATTCATGTACTTGATATGAGACTTGCATGAAGTTCACAAACTAAAGTCAATATTACTAAGTTTGGTTTTGTAAAAGGATCAGTGCTTGAAAAAAAAATACTTTACCTGTTTTATATTTTGAATTCAAAATTTTTCAAGGCTACAGATTGATGAGGAAAAATACCATTAATTTGCCAGTGTATTGAGGCTCTAGAGATTTTTGGACAAAATATTATCTCAACACATTAAACTTTACTCACCATTTAGTTTTGCACCAAATTACATTGACCAAATTATACTATTTTCCAAATTTTTTAGATAAAATACTCAATAATTAAATGCATAAATAATCTAAAATTTGTAATTTATTCAAAGATTTTTTATCATTATGTCCTTTTGTGTTTTAATAAAATCGAAACATTTCAAATACCATTTGTAAAATTTCTACATAATACTGACCATAAACAATTTTTCGTCATTAAAATATGTACGGAAGTTGTAATACGCTTGTATTGAACTATTTCTTATTTAACTACTACTTTAATCATTGATTATAAGCGTACAATTATTGTCCATGTAAATTGCCTTATTAAATAAGACTTCAACTTATAGCTTATTATTTAGGGCACTTTAGAGAATAATTATGGTTTTTTTATCGATCAGATTATATTGTTACTACTACAGCTTGGTTGTTGGATTTATTGTAAGTAGCTGTTTTATTGGACAAAACGTAAATCAGTAAACAATAAAATCTGTGTCGACGATTTTTCAGCCAATGAACAGCCCTCGTATTATCCTGTAATAAAACTTTTTTGTACGTCCCTTACATCATTCCTGAATACTGAACACCTTTTCTTCAGAAAGTCTGTCACAAGCGTCTGACTTGAGAACGCCAAACACTCCTAAAAGAAAATTGAAGAAAGGGGATGAAGGAGAAACTAATTACTAATAAACACGATCACTTGTTTAAATCATACAGTATGTCTACGTTATTGATTCACCCTCGACAGTTTTTTAAAATTCCACACCTCCTGTCTCTTTTTCCCTCTCAACACACATATGATATATACATATATATATACCAATGATCCCCTGTCAGCTTTGCCCAAGACTCATTAAATGGAACATCATCGTGTGTTAACGTGTAACGCAGAGAATTTTTAGCTGAAGATCTTATATATATTCCTCACACTTTTCAAAAAAAAGTTATTCTTCTTAAAAACATGTTAGTTTAAAATTGATACAGTTTTATTGATAAAAAAAATACACTGTTAAAAGTACAGAAATGTAATTGTGCCATAAAATAACCGTTGGCCCTAAAGGATCGTTGATTTAAAGTTTCTGCCGTATAATCTATGAAACGTTCCATTTTTCAAAGCTGTTAAGGTTTGAAACTTACATAAAGTATACAATTAAAAATTTTTTTAGTTTTTTCTCAAAATTTGGTTACCAGAGCAACAAAGTTCTAGAGCTTACTCTCTACATTAATTCTCTATTCATCGATTTTGATGCTGTTGCTTCCATCTTTATAAATATTCTGTGTCAGTTTCTTGACATCTTAAATTAGATACATTAGATGCATTTGAAGTCTCCTTTTTCATTCGCTCTTTTCCTACTTTAAGTATGGTTGAGATTTTTGTAAGCCCTAAAGGATTTTTTTGGAAACTTTGTTAAGTTATAATAAATTTTTTGGCAAGATAGTTCGATGTGTAATGGCTCTAACAATGACCAGCGAGTTTTTTCAGTAAACTAAACTCTTTCTTGTCTGAAATTTAAAGCAAACGTGACTACCTCTTAATCTCAGTGTAATCTTCATTGGCCTGTTATTGTAACACCAGACTGATTGGGAGGGAAACTACAGCATCTGA